CTGTAAATCGAGTCCGATCTGTTGTCGGATCCTTAGAATAATTCTGGGTTTTTATTGTGGTGAAGAAGAAGAGAAAACTGTTCCAAGTAGGTGTTTTAAGGATCGATTTCCCGTCCGATCTGAAGGAATTAGATCACGGTTTTGGCGTCGCTGCATAGGTCTCGCTGCAAGAAAGACACAGCAACCAACGGCTCGTCGTTACGAGGTATATTCCATCCGGAAAACGTATTTAAAGTTGACAAAAAATCACAGTTTCTGAACCCAGAAATAACTAAGTATCAGATTTCAGATTCAAGTTGGCCTTTTATAGAGCAGTTTCCGGTCATCTCGGAGAAGTGGAGGGCAAACCGACGGTGGATACGTTTAGAGGGAGTGTCAGGGAAGCCACCGGAGCCGTCGTAGTCACTAGAAAAGGTAAATCCTAACCGCCATGACGTTTGCTTTGTGCGCAAGAAACGCCTGAAACTGGTTAATCTGAAACCCTAAAATAACAGATCTGAGGTATCTTCTTTGAGGCAGTGTTTGAAGGTCCAAACTAATCCGATCAACTGAAATTTTGGGGCGAGCTTCGTGGTACATCTAGCTTCAAATCCAACGGTGGGATTAAGAAGTTAACGGTTAATATTGAAGTTACTGGTACGTTTGTTTGGATATTTAAGTGAGCTATTCTTCGTCATCAAAAGGCAAAGGTGAGGGTGTGATCTGCGGAGATGCGTTTACAAGTTTCTATTTTTATGCTTCATGATTCACTTGCATAGGATTAGATCTGTTTGCTTAGTAGTGATGACTTGTTTATTAGGATTGATGATATGATGATTGTTTTAGTGATATAGGATGATTGAGTTAATGTCATTGAGATGACAAGTTATTATATGTGATTATATGAGAAAGTGGAATTACCATCTTTTGAGATGATGAAAAGTGGAACAATGGAAAAGTGGAAAATGGTTTACATTGAATTGACGGGTTCTTTGTAGCTCAATAATAGACTGACGAGTCCAGTGGAACTAGATAGGTTCAAAGGTCAGGGGAGATGATCGAACCTGGAACTTATGTGGAGATCTCGCTAAGGGCGAGAACGATTTTTGTGTTATAGTTTGTATACTGGTGCAGACTATATGAGTGTAGTGTCTTTTTCTATGTGATTGTTGATTGTTGTGTAAAGGTAGTTTCGTGTATCGTATTACCAGTGGGCGTAAAGGATACTCTCACTGAGTAATTCTTTACTCACCCCTTTTTACCATTTTTCTCCAGGTCAGGGTGAGAATTTCGAGTAGTCGCGCAAGTCCGTCTCTCTTGTGGTGTATTTCGGGAACCTCGAGTTTATTTTACTTTACCATTATTTTCTTATATTTCTAAACTCGTTTTTATTTACGTTTGAGAAAAAGTTTTCAACTATATTTTAGATTATTTAAGACAAGTTTAAATTGAGTTTTTAATAAAAGCAAGAATTTCTGGGAAAGTATGAAATGATGAATTGAAAAAGTAGAACAGAAGAAAAGATAAGTAAGGTGAACGCACGCCATCTCAATGTTGAGGGAGACGGGTATGACAGCCTTCCTCTGGTTCAAATTTTCATTCTTCTTCTTTGCATCTCCATTCACCAAGGCCTTGTTTGTTTCATCATTTGGCATTTGCATCCAAATGATCTATCCAAATGATCCATTTGGATGATGCATCTGAATGATGTTTGTTTGATCATTTGGGTAGTTCATCTTAATTATGCATTTAAATGAACCTTTGTTTGTTTGATTATTTGGTAATTCATCCACATCCTCATCTAAATAAAAATGACTAAAATACCCCTGTTTTCATCTAATTATATTTTAATTCTCAATCTTAATCATTTTAATTTTAATTATTGATCAAATATATTTTACAACCAAACAAATGTCAAATTATTATATTTAAAAATTTATAAATTTCCATTTTCATTAAATTAAATTTTTTATAAGAACCAAAGCATATGCATATGTTATGAAATTAAAGAACAACCAACATTATTACCAAACATAAACTCCAAAAATCATAAAAACAATACACAGTCTTATAATTTCTGATTCTGATTGCAATATAGAACAAGTTTTGAGCAAGCCTACCATTAGAGCCTCTCGATTTTGATCATCTCCTTTGTCAACGTGCTCAAATTCTGCAACAAAAACAAGCCTTTGTCAACGTGATATCAAGAATGGTCTTTTCTCAAGCCAAGAACAACAATAAGATCCAAAGCAACGTGTTCAAATTTATATCAAGAATGGTCTTTCCTCAAGCCAAGCTAATAGCCGATAAACATTCCTGAATTCATTATGACACAAACATATAAATAAACAGTATCATTCAAGAGATGCAAGACATGGAAATCAGAATCACTGGAGAGAAAAAAAAAACTCATCTACAAAGAAATCAGATACACTGTTCCTAAACTCTGCCCATTTGTTTGCTTCCAGCAGAAATTGACTATAATTACATTCCCAAATACGTTTCTTAAAGTTGACATCAATTCAACACAGAAACTCGATTTTAAACAGCAGATCACAATCTTCTTGCTGTGAATCTCGGATAAAATTATGTAACGCCATTGTTGAGGTCACAATCTTAACCCACTTCTTCAACTCATACTTGGGGTGTTTCCTGTCTAAAATCCTCCACTTCGCCTTCCATACACCGAAAGTTCTCTCAATTACTGATCTCAAACTAGCATGTTTACGGTTAAACAGTTCCCTACTGTTGGTAGGTAGTCCTCCTCTATTGAACTGGTCTAAATGGTATCTAGTCCTATGGTGAGGACCTAAATATCCACTTCTAGTTGGATAACCAGAATCTACTAAATAATAATTTCCAGCCGGAGGATGAGGAAAAGAAGCATCATGGGTAGCGCAATATGTTAGCACCTTCGTGTCATGTGCTCTTCCGGGAACTCCAACATAAGCATATGTGAATTTTAGACTGAAATTGCACACAGCGAGAATATTCATTGTCGGTTCTGATTTTCTACCTATAAATGGCTCTAAACTCCCTGATGGAGGACGTACTGGTACATGAGTACCATCAAGGGCACCAATGCATCACTAGAATAAGATTTGGAAAAAAAAGCACACATTCTAGGACACTGAAAGACACTCAATCCTGCGATTGATCTATGATTCAACTAATGTTCTGCGATTTAGAAACACGAAATCAAACAAAGCCACAACAATTTCACCAAACAAAGCCACAACAATTTCACAGAGCACCACTTCACAGAGTTCAACAAAGACACTAATATTCTGCGATTTAGAAACACGAAATCAAACAAAGCCACAACACTCGTCTCCATTGGTACACATAAACTCAATACAAAATCAGGAATTAGAGATATATCATACCTCTCAAACAGTGGTTGCAGCGATTTCAATCCGTAACACCTGAAACCCACTTTGAGATTTCAATGACTAAAGGAGAAATCGAATCCAATAATCAAACCCATGAGTCTTACCTCTCAAACAATGGCCGCAGCTAATTCAACCCACGCACGAGAGAGAGAAGAAGAGATCCGGCGAAGAGATCAAAGAGGAGTGGAGTGAGAAGATCAAAGAGGAGTGGATTCCGGCGAGAGATCCGGTGGAGGAGATCCAGCGACGAAGAGATCCGGCGAAAAAGAAATCTCGTTTCTCTTCTCTAGAGAGATGGCCGACGTTGTGTCGAGGATGAGGAAAAGAAGGAGAAGTAGGTTTAGGTTTTTTGGTGTAATTCTCCAAATTAGATAGGGGTATTTAGGTCATTTTGTATTTTAGACTGAATCAGCTCCAGTCAACTGCTCCGATCAGACTCAGTCGGAAAATGATCATTTTTTGGATGAGTTTAATAAAAATCTTCCAACTGGTTCATCTCACTGCTCTGTAAAATTGTTATAAACGAACATCATAACTCATCTCCATTCAGATAGATCATCTGAATGGAGAAACGAACAGCACCCAACTACAGTAAATACATGACTATCCATTATCCACTTGCATCATAAATTCTTTAGAACCCCACTAAATACGACTGGAAACATGATTTTTATCTACGAAAACAAATTTTTTTTCCAAATACACACTTTATAAATATAAATTTATCCTCATTTAGCATTTACAACAAAACAAAAAATAAAACAAAATTTTCTGGATTTTTATATCAAAACAATGTTGTTTTCCTACACAGTCAAGATTTTAAGTGTGTTATAAGAAAAACTTCTTAAACAACTTCATTACTTAATGCTATTTTTGTCACCAAACTTTATAAAACAACAAAATCAAAATTTCTCCAGTATCACATTCGTTCATATAAATTTGTTTATTTTTTTCTTTCTTGTTTATCTCTTAAAATTATTCATATATACGTATAAACAAATATTACAAGAAGTAATGATGAGTTTGTATTAATTAAAGTGGGTAATAGTCATGTCTAAACTTTTTGGCATTTAATCCTGATGTCACATATAGTTTTTTAATGTTATTAAACCCCCATTTTCATTGTACAACCGCAAAAAAACAAATGAAAACAAAAATATCTGAACCTAACTAAACACTGTACATAACTGAACCGAGTAACTGAACCGTACACGTAACAGTACATCGTTACGCAGGCAGAGGTATTTTGGTCAGAATTTGGCTTAATTGTCAAAACGTCAAAGGTGACGTTCACTTTGCCAAACCATGAAAATAAAACATGGTCTTATGTCCTGGCCCGCAATTAACCCTATTAAATATGCCGGATCTTTTTTTTTTTTGTCATCTTATGCCGGATCTTTTTCGGAAATTTTCTTTAATAGTTTTTTTTTCAAAACATTATTGACCCGACCCATGACCCCGGATTTAGAGTATTCGGATCCATTGAGACAATGGTGTTGTGTATAATATTAAAGAAAGACTGAGGATAGGTGCAGACTTGGCATCGAGTCACCGATTGGTCTGAAGAATTAAAGAATGGTTTCTCTGTAATGTATTTTAAGAACAACAAAGTCTCTCACCAACTATATTCTCTATTTTTTCAGACGAACCTAGACACCATTCCAATGGATGAGCAGGTCCAAGAACCTCTTTCTGATCAGGTGTTTATCAACTACCGCGGAGATGAGCTGCGCGAAATCTTTGTCAACCATCTAGAGCTGCAATTAAGAAACGCAGGGATCAACGTCTTCATAGACACTAAAGAGCAGAAAGGGAGAAGACTACAATATCTCTTCACAAGGATCAAGAAGTCTAAAATCGCGCTTGCTATCTTCTCCAAGAGGTACTGTGAGTCAAAGTGGTGTTTGGATGAGCTAGTGACGATGAATGAACAGATGAAGGAAAAGAAACTCGTGGTGATTCCAATCTTCTATAACGTAAGATCGGACGATGTGAAAAGAGCAGCCAATCCCGATGGAGAAGGCGGTCTTGATGGAGAGTTTTCCCTTCCTTTTAAGCAACTGAAGCAAAAACATGCAGGAGAGCCTGAGAGGATCGAGGGTTGGGAGTGTGCCCTGAGATCTGTGACAAAAAGAATAGGGTTTTCCCGGTCAAAATACGAGTAATATTTCAAAACACATGTTTTCTTGATTATGTTTGGATCTATGCCCGACTAATCTTTGGATTAGTAGATCTCTTTGGTAAGGAGTTTTACGCAAACCCACCAACCGACCGTGGGTAAATTAACCGGAAAAAGCCTAGATGACTGAGCGATCTATGCGCAAACAAGATCGCCTACTTGCATCATCGGTTGTTATCGATTTCTTTTATCTAACTCACGTTTTTATTTTATTTTTTTGCAGACACGATACCAATTTTGTTTTAGATATTGTTAAGGAGGTTAAGAAACAGCTAAAGATACCAACTGACGAATGTTGGTCAGCTATAGGAATTGCTATCTCGGCTATAACCATCAACTTTATCTTTAGTTTCTTCATTGCCCCTAAGTATCTCCCTGATCAGAAGTTTTTCCAGACTCCTGAATGGTTCATAGGTTCTCTGGCAGTGGTTCTTGCGTTGTGGTTTTGGTACAAAAATAACCAGAACAAAGCACCACTTCTTTCATAAGTGGCTTTTGTGCAACTTTATGCTGTTTATTTGTGTGTTGTTATAATGTGGTGTTAAAGATAATTTGGTTGGTTTGTACATTTGTGTCTTTTTGTTAATAAGTATGTTGTAATTGTCAGTTACTATCGTAAAGAACAAAATTGTGCTTTGTATCAATCTGGGTCTCTTCTCTGAGTAAGCTCTTTGACAAGACATTCTCGTTTTCCTAAAAGTCTTTTGCTTCTTCATTGGTTAGATATTAATGGAAATGGTGAATTTATCACTTGTGTGATCTTTGAGTATAAGCAAATTAAAAGATGAAATGCACCTCTCTTTGCTTGAATCTCTATTGATCTTTAACACTCTCTAAAGTCAAACCCACCAGGAAAATGCGCATTCTTGATCCACCCCGTGACCCCGAATTAGAGAGTGATGTGGTTTCTCTTGGTGTTCCTATATATAAAAGAAAGACTTAGATAGGCGTACTGAGTCATGTATTTAGAAAAAAAGAAGAACAAAGTCTTCAACAACAATTTCTTTACCTTTCCAGTCTTTGATTCATCTTTAATAATGATACATTTTGTTGCTTAGCGTGAGCTTGCTTGCTTCTCTCTTGCTAATTCATTCTCTGCGGGTTCTAAGATATCTGTCCAAAACTGTACAAGCTTCAAACTTGGTTCTTGATTCTTTATTGATAGGCACACATTCAGTTTTCCCATATGCTTTTAACCTTACTAAACACCATGGATGATCCCGGTTTGGTTTGAGCATAAACAAGAACATTGAGGGTCACTTCCTTCTCTCTTGATCATGCGCTTCTCCCGATTAATCATCAGTTTGATTAGTGGTACCTTCTTGGTAACTTGTCTCCAGATCTCATTCACACTTCCATTTGGATGCGTATAGTCAAAATATCGCCTAACCTACACAAATCAAGTCCATAAACTTCACATATTTTTTTCAATAGATCCAAAGGAACTTTCAGAAGACAAATCAAGAAACTCTTCTTACCTCTTTCATCGTCTTTTGGTACTTCAAAATCTTTTCTGGTTTCACTTTTCTTAGCTTCTTAACCACAAACCCCGGTTTCAAAGCTGCATCTCTCCTCAAGAATATAGAAAACTTTCTGTAATCTATAACATCTTCAACAGGTAGCTCAATGCTATCGCTTACAATCACCGGGACACATAAACTGGCAATGGCATCAAATAATATGCAAGCTGAATGAGCATCACCAGCTGAATGTAGACAAAACTTAGACGTATGCATTCCTTGTTTAGCTGCACGCCTATTCTCTCTTGATTGTGTTCCGTGTTTGATCACAACATCCTCTTCGTTCTCAAGAAGCTTGAAAAGCAAATCTCGGACTCTGCCTCCCTGTCAAACAAACACATACACCAAAGCACATATATTGTCAAAATCAGCATCTGCATGGAAAAACCGGCAAAGTTCAGATCCTTTGTACACATTTTTACCAGTATTTCGAGAATCTCTCTAACTTTAACACATTTTATATTCAATTCCAATCCATAAACAAGAACACTACCTAGTAACCATGACAAGAATCTTTGTATCTAACTCTAACTAAAATTTAAACCCTTTTCCAATTTCAAGATCAAGAACAATGGAGATCATTAAATCTTACATCTTTGCGATATCGGTTTCCGATGAAGAACAACAAATTGTTCCTCTGCTTAACTCCAAGGTCTCCTTCATAAGCATCAATCCTATAACAATAAGGTATGATTACGTCTTTCACAAGCGACCCTTGGTCAGCTCTTAACCGACCAAAATCCGCCACCGTCACAATGATTCTTCAGTTGAAGAAAGAGCTTAAAGAGGTAATCAGTATCAGAGGAAGAAGAAGAAGAGATTGAGTTTCGTGAAAATTGAATTTCGAGGAAAATATTTTATCGGGAATATAGAAAAGTTCATCTTCACGAGACATGATTTTTCGCGTGTTGTGTTGTGTTGTTTGAGAAAATCGACGTTTGAAGTTCAAATTTAAATTTAATTAGTCCAAACTAAGTCTGGACAAAATATCTGGAACTGAACCCGAACCGATTTTTAAAAATATCCGAATAGATCTTAGACCTTTCTACCCGAAAAAATCCGAACCGAACCCAAACCGAATCCAATACCCGTGGATACCCGAATACAAATATACCCGTGGATAATTTTAGTATTTTTAGATACTTTTGGTTATATTTAGGTAAAAAGTAACCAATGTATTTTCAAAAATCGGGTATTTTGGTTAGATTTGGTTATATATGAGTAAAAAACCTGAACCCGATCCGAACCTGAAAATATTTCGGGTACTTTTTGGTTATTTTCGGGTATTTTACCTTTTTATTAAAATACCCGAACCGACCTTAACCCGAACCGAAACCGAAACCGAATTTTTAGAATACCCGAATGGATCTCGACCCTCCTATCCGAATAGAACCAAAATCCGAAAAAAAAATAACCGATTGGATACAGATACCCGAATGCCCAGGCCTAGTCCAAACATATTTCTTTAAGTTCTTTTTAGATTCGTGGACAAATGATTATTATATGCTTTAAAACCAGTTTATGTGTGTTTACTATTTTAATTTTTTTTCTTCGTAAAATGAATTTTGTTGATAAAATGTTACAAGTACAAAACAGCCCAGTTGCAACAAAAACTTACAAAGAAGAAGAAGATAAGCTTCAAGAAATGTGTCTTACAATACAGATGAGTAGATAGATAGATATGTGTTGTTCCACAAACCTCCGCAGCACAAGAGCCCAATTCCGGTTAATTGATCGTCGCCGGAAAACCAATCCTAATAACGAAACTTTATTTGCTCACCAGTGATGATTAAAACGGGTAAAAAGGACAATCATTAACCAATAAATTGCTAAAAATTCCAGTAAACTCGGGTAAAGAGAAAACGATTGAATTGAAGAATCATATTGAAGCTCTCAATACAAAGGAACATCAACAAAAAGGCAATTAACATCATCATAGGAAAATAAGCTATGATCACCATGAACTGTCTTGAGTTTATAAAAATGACGAAGTGGCAAATCCAATAGGGCAAGCAATAGGAGAAACCGAACCGGAAAAAAAAAATTAAAAAGAGAAACAAACGACAAAAAAGCACTGATAGGCTGCTGTGAAAGCTAATCGATTTTAGATGACGATTTGTGACACCAGTGTTATCATAAAAGCATTTAAAGTACAAAATTACGTCACGATAAAAAATTTCCTTCGAGGTACGCAATAGTCCCTTTATTAAACAGACTCCAAAAGGCTAGCAAAGAGTTACTTACCACACTCCAACGGTGCTAAATAAAAGCTCTAATTACTACCAAGATTTTTCTAGATTTGTAGATAAGATTTAAAGCCAAACTATGTAATTTTGGATATCACCATACTTCAAAATTATGACACGTGGATTAGGTTTCCATTTGTTTCACGTATTTATATTGTATCCCAGGAGTATCACCAACCGCCTATAGATTTTCTTGACGTGATTGGTCACTTTTTCGTCCCACCAACCACCCGAAATTCCATTTTCTTTTGTCTTTGTTCTTGTTTTTCGAAGATTGACTCAATATGTTGACCAAAAAGGAAGTAATCGACGGCATAACAGCTAAACAGTGATATTTTCTTGGGCAAATTATATCAGCGGTTAGTTCTTCACACCCAGTTCAATCTCTCAATTGCATATCTTTACTTAAATGACTTTAATCGACTTGTTCCCTAGATTTTAGGGATAATTCTGAAACTTAAGGTTTTTTTATTTGTTTAATCTTATTAATAAATTAAAATAATATTGTTTTTCCGAAATATTAGGGTTTCATGATGGGTTGCTATAATATCAACGAATTGCCAGACTCTTTGCTAACTCAGATACTCTCTTACCTTCCGACCAAAGATTCAGTTAAGACAAGCGTTTTGTGTAAGAGATGGAAACTTTTATGGCTAAAGGTTCTTGGAATTGACTTAAATGTCAATGATTTCCCTCTTAATGGACAAGTCTTTGCTAGCTTCATGGATAAATATCTGGAGTTTAATGCTTCGGAGAACCTATCAATTAGCCAGAGATCAAGAATGCAAAAGTTCAAGATAAAGTACAACGAGTTCAATAACTATGGTGATCGGTTCGGAGAGTTGATTGGTACAGTTGTCGATCGCAGAATTGAACATTTAGATGTCGAGGCTGATATGTTTCCAACAATCAGAGATTTCATGCCTCAACATCTATATAAAAGCAAGACATTGGTGTCTTTAAAGCTTGTACGCGTAGGGCTTGTGAATCCAGAGTGTTTTGTTTCTCTACCTTGTCTCAAGATCATGCATTTGGAAAACATTTTTTGTGGTAACGATGGTCCTTTGGCTGTGGAGAACCTCATCTCAAGTTGTCATGTTCTTAAAGATCTTACAGTGGTTAGGTCTATTGATCGTTACAATGTAGAAGTTCTGCTGTTTCTTCGTGTGAAGTCTCAGAGTCTGAAAAGCTTGCGATTCACGTTTGCCAATGATATGGGTGGTACAGAGTTTTCTGTTGAGATTGATGCTCCACGACTCGAGTATATGAGTTTTAAAGATAATCAATCTGATAAGATTGTGGTAAAGTATATGAGTTCTTTGTTCATGGTCGACATTGATACTAAATTTAATGTTGAGTTTGGTGGCAGTCCTTTGACACCAGGGAATATGAGCAAGAGAGATACTATCCGTGATTTTCTCATCGGTATTTCTAGTGCAAGACATATGATCATCTCTCAGCGTACTCTAGAGGTATATACATAACAACTAAGTATACGTTCATCCTCTATAATAGAATTCTCACTTATATCATTTTTTTTTCTGGCAGGTCCTTGGTCGTTACATGGAACTTGGACCGATTTCCAAATTCCGCAACTTGCATCGTTTGCATGCTGCATTCTCCAGCTCATTGTTACATGTATTGCCAATCTTTCTTGAGAGCTTCCCAAATCTGAAAAACCTCATCTTGGTAAGAATCTGTTTTAGCCTATAAAATTATTGAAGGATATTGTAAGCTCGTTTTCTTGTTTTTGTTTGCAGGATTTTACTGTTTCGACAGAGACGAGGCAAACTGAACTTAGGTATGTGCCTCAATGTTTGGCATTGAGTCTTGAACGTGTTGAGATTAAAGGACTGACAAAGGAGGAAGAGACTGGGAAGAAACTAATGAAGTATTTTCTTGAGAATTCAGTGGTTCTCAAGAAACTTATTCTCCGTTTCCGAGCTTCTCCTACAACCATCCGAGCTTCAGACATCTCACTCTAGCTTCTTACATTCACAAAGCGTCCTCACAATTGTAAGATTATTGTTTATTGAAAATGTCATTGAAGATCAGTGTAGGAATCTTGTTTTTCAAAATTGAAGTCAGGCCAAGAATTGTATAGACATTAAACTTTACTCTTTGAAGCCCTGAATGTATCTGTAGTGTGATTATTTGTGGTCTATTGTGACATTTATAACAGCAAGACATTTTTTTCTTTTAAACTTGAAATCGTACCAGCTTGTGGTGGTTTAGTTTAGTGTGTCAGCTCTCAGACTCTAAAAGAGCTTCTGGTGTAAGAGAAGTGTTCTAAAGCCTCCAGAAGAAGCAGAGTATTTCAGCTTAGAAGGGTTAAAGTCAGAGGCTCGGGTTGAAGTAGAGTCTCTCAGGGACACTAATGAGGATTGGTACGTAACACGTGTGGTCGCGTGTGAGGCTGTTAAAACCCTAAACGCCTCTTTTTTCTATTCTGCATATAAAAGAGAGCGGCCTCAATCGTTGTGGTTATGCTTCTCTTCCGCTTGTTCTTCTTTCTGCTTCGTGTCTGTTGTTGGATCTTGAGTGTGTTATAGAATTGATTATGGAGGAAATACTGTTGGGAATTCAGCAGTTCTCAAGGACTCACTCTAAGTTTTAAAGATTATGTTTGGAGATATCTGAAACGCAGAATGAGTTTCTTGAGAAGTACTGAATTCTCAAAAGAAATACTAGTTACTTCCTTTAGCAAAAAAAAAGATTCTGATTATAAGCAATCAAGTTTGTTACATATCTCAGATTATTATCCTTTACATGCAATTGTTTTGGCCTTTTGGTTTGAATCGAGCAAAAGTTTCCCATTTCTTTTTTTTCTTTTCATTCTTCAAAAACCACAACTATAGAACTAAGTTTTAGAAGACCAGATTAGTGTGATCAGTTGATTTTCAAAGAAACTTCAAAAAAGAGTTTCAGTGGGTGTGTATATATAGTTTCAAACAAGATACATACAAGTGAGTTTACTCCTTTTCTTATAACTTCTTCATCAACGGAGAAATTGTATTAATTTGGGTCATGAACAGCGGGTTACTGCGGTCAGACAGAGGATTTGCACCCGGAAACACAAAATACAAATTATCATAAACGGAAACATATATAAACCAATAGAACCGGAGTGTGATTTTTAATTTTTTACAACAACAGGAGGAACACTCTGTTTTTTTTTTGTTTTTTCTTAATAAATATAAAATTTATTCATAAAAAGCATTAAATGCGACCTTTTGGTAGAAAACTTGGAGAAAGTGAACGCTTACAAACGTAAAATTATATACGTGCTAAACCGTAAGCGAAAACAGTCTTGGTCTATGAGCTAGTTTGATGACCATAGTTTGGATCTCTTGGTGTTACCCCATGCCATTTTTTTTTTTTTTTTTTTTTTGATAAACCCTATCGGTTGATCCGGTCAGCCCCGATAGAAACACACCGAAGTGCTTCAGAGTGGACTATTCCCCGAAGGGCCACCACACTGTCTGTCCCGAGTTTGGAAT